CCGTCTTCCATGACCTTGATTTTGCACTTGACCACTGACACGGGGCTGCTGCTGATGACTCGGGGATACTTGTGACTCAGAACTGCTGGTGATTCGGGGTTATTTGTGATTCGGGATTAAGTCATCGTACTCAAGGGATTAAGTCATCGCACTCGAGGGTATTAAATCATTGTACTCAAGAAGGTTAAACATTTACCGAGTCGTGTTTTACAATAAGCAAAAAGTTTCAAAGGACCAAGAATGAACAATGACTCTTAGTTGACAAATTTACGAAGCTTAAAGTGTTCCTCCGCCGTGTGAGACAACAGACGCCCCAGGTAGAATACAAACTAAGTCTTGTGCCTTCAGTAGGATCCCGGATACATACTGGTTCCTACCTTGAATTTTCCCCGTAGTGTCACACGAGTTAATGAAAACAAAATCTAAATTAATATTAAAATTTAACTGAGATTTAACCTTAACTGTGGATACGTTTCTCGTCATACTAATTAAGAATCAGTATGGAAAAAAAATATAATTCGTGATATAATAAAATAATCTTAGACCCAGACTCGTCATGTAATCATTGTATACGTGTTATTCACCACATCTCATCACCTTCTCCCGCATGATAGTGTGATGACAGAGTGTGATGATAGGTGTGGTGATGTCCCTATTCTCTTATATACGTCATCACTATAATACCCAGGAAGAGTTACCACTACTTCACATCTTCCTGTCACCTGTTAACCTCTCAGTTATTTCCGGGTTTTGTGGTATATTTAACAAGGGCGTCACCACCTGTCTGTCTATCTATCTATCTGTCTATCTATACACCCTCACCTATTCTTCCTTTCCCATTTCCCCCCATATCACCTCCATCTCCCCCCCTCCCACAACCCATCATTCGGGGGGGGGGGGGAGATATTACCCATTCAATAAATAACTCCCTAATACAATGAGTATGATTATGGTAATGCGAAAAATATGCTCATTGAGTATAATGCTAAGTTATACCACGGCTGGGTATATTGATGTCTCTCTTGCATGGTCTGAAAGCGTAAATACGTAACACATATACGCAGATACGCAGGGTGATATTGACGCTTGATACCTGTGAATGCTGCTCCTTGTCGGAACTAAAATTATGTTAAAATAAAAATAAAAAAGCAAAGCAAAATATAATAAAAAAAATAATAAAATTTGATGATTGAAAAACTGAACCAAATCGAAATGAATTGTATTAACAATGAAATGATATAACCTAACCCAATCTCTTATCTTCCTATATCACCCCTTACCTTCTATATCATCCCTTACCTCCTATATCATCCCTTACCTCCTATATCACCCCTAACCTTCTATATCACCCCTTACCTCCTATATCACCCCTTACCTTCTATATCATCCCTTACCTCCTATATCATCCCTTACCTCCTATATCACCCCTTACCTTCTATATCACCCCTTACCTCCTATATCACCCCTTACCTTCTATATCATCCCTTACCTCCTATATCATCCCTTACCTCCTATATCACCCCTAACCTTCTATATCACCCCTTACCTCCTATATCATCCCTTACCTCCTATATCACCCCTTACTTCCTATATCACCCCTTACCACCGATTTCACCCTTTACCGTTATAAACTACCACATACTTCTCCTCCAAGTCATCATCGTCAGGAGTACCTGTGTAGAGGTAAAGGCAAGGACGAAGCCGTGGCAGACGAAGCCCCACAAGACGAGCCTAAAATACCCACACAAGAGGAGCCTAAACCAGCCCCACAAGAAGCCCAACAAGACGAGCCTAAAATACCCACACAAGAGGAGCCTAAACCAGTCCCACAAGAAGCCCCCACAAGACGAGCCTAAAATACCCACACAAGAGGAGCCTAAACCAGCCCCACAAGAAGCCTAGGGCTGGTACACACAAGAGACTAAGCCAGCCCCTGGCCCCCCACAAGACAGGCCTAAAAATGCCCACACAGGAGCTAAACCAGCCCCACAAGACAAGCCCTTCTTTACAAGGGCTAAACCAGCCCCCACAAGACGGAGCCTAAAATGCCCCCCCACAGAGGCCTAAACCAGTCCTAAGAAGCCCACAAGCCCACCAAAACCCCCCATAGAAGGACCACATCTGACTTCTATACGCATATTGTCTCTTGCCCTGAAATTAACAAGACCTGGTCATCCCGGAGAGGAAGGCTGGTGGCGCTGGAATTGGCTCTTGAATTTGGTGTCGAAATCAGAATAGATACTAAACAAAAATTCTGTCATGGTGTTATTTGGACTGAAAGCAACCAGGTTGCCGCATGTGGTTGGCGACGAATAAAGCGATAATGGATCAAAAAATAATGCGTATGGGAAAGAATTTTTTAAATATCTGTTGTTCTTAAAGTGTTTTTACCATCTTTTTTTTTTTTTTTTTGGTGTGTGTGCTACTTGTAATGGTGTCTGGGTTGTATTATGAAAAGCTTTTAATCTATGGTGAGCTTCGTGGCCATTGGGTTGGATACGATGGTGTTTTGTTTTTTGTGTTTGTTTTGGTGTTAAACAAGAGGTGGCGCTATACTTCTGGTGGTGTTGACGGCGAGGGATACGTTTTCGTCACACACACACACACACACACACACACACTTTTGTTGTACAGATGAGTAGCATTGTGTTAGTGCTATATAATTAGTTATTGGGAGGGAGGGAGGGGGGGAGGGAGGGAACAAGAAAGGGGAAGGGAGAGATAAGGAAGAAGGGTAGCGGGAAGGAGAAGGAATGGAAAGAAAGGGAAGAAGGAAGGGTGGAAAAAATAGTTAAACATAGTGAAAAGGCGAAGAAGAGAAAGGAATTGAATAAAAGAGAGATAAAGGGAGAGAGAGAGAGAGAGAGAGAGAGAGAGAGAGAGAGAGAGAGAGATCCAAAACCCCATTAACCCATCCCATTACCTTTTCTCAATAGCCCCATAATCCCATCCTAGCCAATTAACTAATCCTATCTACCCATTTACATCCCCTCCCCCATTCCTAATCAATTCCTTCTCATCTACTTTCTTCCTTCATCCCCATTATTCTCCCATCCTCACCAATTAACCCATTTATCTACCTCTAATCCCCTCTTCTCCATTCCCCCATTCCAATTATCGATCTATCTATTTATCTATCTATCTCATCTGGATAATTTATATGGGAGTAAATTTATATAAAATGAGGAATTTCCATATTTTGTTAATTTTCACAATAAAAGAAAAAAATCGATAATGTTGAACTTTAATGAAAATATTTGATAATTTTCAGTGACGTTCCATTTGGCTTTGTAATTCGATGCTTTGTTAATTAACTAAAAATAATTAAATTTGCTTTTAAAAATACATTACGATGAAGGATTTTGATCATGATTACAAATAAGTGTTGATCAGAGCGACACGTGATGGCAAACAGCAGCCCCCCCGACCACCTATAATCTATATAAATTCTTAACCTAAAGTCCCTAAGATGAGGCTAAAACTCGCTGAACTTCACTAGAATCAACACAAAATCATAAAAAATTAACCCAATAATCGCTTAAAATCACCTGAATCACATAAAAATCGCTAAAACCAATTTAAAATAAATAACACAGTCATCTTAACTTCAGTTGCATCACCTTAAAAATCGCTAAAATTCAACGATATCGCTAAAATTCCCTTAAAGTCAACTGAAACTCTTTACAACATACTTAGAATTAATCCAAGTCACATGAATTTCTTTACATTATTCATACGTGTTCACTTTACCCCGAGGTTAGCAACTAAGGCCGCTACTCACTGATGACCCAAATTGACGCCAGCCACAGTCTGCTCACTGCTGGGAATCCCACTACACGTCTAGCTCGTACCCGTTTCCTCCCTCTCCCCACCTCTCTCCTTCCCTCTCCTCCGTCCCTCCATTCTCCATCCCTCTCCTCCTCCCCACCCTTTTAAGATAACGGGTCGAGGAAGAGGAGGAGGGGGATGGGATAGGTGGGGGGTAGGAGGAGCAGAAAAGGGGAGGGGAGGGGGAGAGGTAGAAAGGGCAGTGCAAAGGAGTTGAGGGAGGAACAAGTGATATTAGGAGAGGTCAGTGAAGGAGAAAGGAGTGACGAGGATAGGTAGGAATGGAGGGACGGGGATAGGGAAGGACAGATGATATTAAAAGGGGAGAAGGATAGGGGGGAAAGGGGGGGACTGACGAAGGGAGGGATGGAGGGAGGGACGTGGTTAGGTGGTAATGGGGTTAAAGGTAACAACAGACAACCAGCAGTGTCTTATTTCCTGAGTCGGTCATTCACCCCTACTTTACCTGGCTCCTCTGGGTCCCGGAATTCTCAAGAGAGTCGGGAGATAACTTCTGACCCTTCAGCTAACTATCTAATAATCTTACTTAACGCTACAACGTCTGAAACTCATAACACAACAGCGGATAAAACGCCCAGAAACTGCACTGTCTGTATCTCTACTGCCGGGGATTCGGGATGTTGTTTTAGCTTAAGGATGGGTCAACTTTGCGGAGGAATTTAAGAAACACAGTTGCTGCCTCGAGAGAAAGACGAACGTGTTGATATAATCCTCATGTCGGTGTTACATAATCCACTGATAGTTGCTCTCCACCGTCCCTGTTACCTCCGTCTAATTCGCTTTACAGAGAGGTCCGATGAATTTCAAAATAAATACCGCGATTCCTGTTCTCTCGGTCATATTATATCACACAAAATCGTAAACATATTCCTTGAAGAGAGATACACAGATGTAAATGTCCAGGATAGTGGACTATTAGACTAATTTCTATTCTTAATGACTTTAAAGAACCAACTTTACGATATGGTCACAATATGGAAATCCCTGTTCCTTTACTGTAAATAGATTTGTGTGTTTGTGTTCATGTTCCTGTTACATGTAGACTTATGATAATGTGAACACGAGGATTAATGTTTCTGTGTTGTATATCTAGATGTTTCTCTGTATTTATGTCTGGATAACTTATATAACTGAATGTGTTTCTCCGGCAGGTTGCAGCGACCGTGACCCACGCTGTTCCCTCTGGGCGGGTAAAGGAGAATGCTACAAAAATCGAGGTTACATGCACGTCCACTGTGCCGAGTCCTGCCACCAGTGCGTTGTTCAAGGTGAGTAGGCCTACCAAGTTCCTCCCTAGTTCTCCCGACCTCCAGAATCAAAACTATGACTCCTCTCTCGACAGCTTCAGTTTTGGTCACGTTTGGCACGAGACGTTCCTTACCATACCAACAGCGGCTCCTTCCCTTGATTTTGTCATTCCTCTCCCTCTACCACTCAAACAGTTGTGGACATTCCCTCTTTCCTTCTTATTTCTTACCAAGGACTTACGCACACCTTCCTTCTAACGGTACACACACCTTTGGTGATAATACTACAACAGCCTTGACCACATACCTTTGATCCTTACCCGCGGTGGGAGACAAATAACTAAGATTACATACAGCGCCACCGGGACACACTATCTTACTGCGTCGTGTTTGTTCGAATAACCCCATAAGCAGCCTCCTCTTACACTAACACCACCTCCATAATACTGGACACATAGTTAGTATCCCTGGGTATACACTAACTAGAAAGATCTCCCTGGGCCACCAATTTCCAACATGATAAGGAGCACATCTAAAAAAAAAACATTGGACTCTCCCCTTCAAGAATCCTCGATGCTATTACCCGTACACAAATTATTATCCTTTACAACAACCAAGTCCTGTTATTACATGAATTATTCCTCTCACAGGTGCATAGAGTCTCCACAACCTTGGTAATTGTCTCATTACTAACCTGTCCTTCACTATACCTGCACATCTCCTCCCCTCCACATCACCACCTCCCTGCACATCTCCTCCCCTCCACATCTCCACCCCCCGACCTTCAATCAGTCGCATCACAATTCTCTAAATCAGTGTCTCAATTAAGCTGGATCAGTGACGTCATATAGAGTACCTACACGATGGTCTAGTGGGTTGTTATGTTAGGTTAGATTTAGGTTATGTTAGGTTTAGGTTAAGTTAGGTTAGGTTTGGTTTATGGTAGTTAAGTGTAAATGATCCGGTGGGTGTTAGGAAAGAGGTTGTTAAGTGTTCAATGGTGTTTATAGGAACTTTACAGATTAAGGATTTGGTGATAAGTGTGTTAATGAGGAAGCTTCGAGTTCAATAGGATTTTTTCTTGAGTGTAATAATAATAATAATAATAATAATAATAATAATAATAATAATTAACGGTTTATTGAAAAAATTCTGCAGCCCGAAGGCTGAAAATATACATTGGACACAAATGACTTATTACATACAGTACATTGGTGGTTTAACAAAAGCCTTCATTATAGAAAGGTAAAGGAACATACAGTGAACATACAGATTAATGTAGGTGTTGAACAGCAAACTCGTAGATGTAGTAACTCCCTCCCAGATGGTGTTAGGAGGAACTCACGTGGTGTAGTAGTTCCTTCAGATGGTGTTATGAGGGACCTGGCGTGGTGTAGTAATTCCCTCGCAGATGGTGTTATGAGGGACCTGGCGTGGTGTAGTAATTCCCTCACAGATGGTGCTATGAGGGACCTGGCGTGGTGTAGTAATTCCCTCGCAGATGGTGTTATGAGGGGCCTCACGTGGTGTAGTAATTCCCTCACAGATGGTGTTATGAGGGACCTGGCGTGGTGTAGTAATTCCCTCACAGATGGTGTTAGCAGGGACCTGGCGTGGTGTAGTAATTCCCTCACAGATGGTGCTATGAGGACCTGGCGTGGTGTAGTAATTCCCTCGCAGATAGATTGTTATGAGGGCCTCACGTGGTGTAGTGATTACCTCACAGATGGTGTTATGAGGGGCCTCACGTGGTGTAGTAACTCCCTCACAGAGTGTGTAAAGATGTGTGTGTAATAATAATAATTAACAGTTTATTGAAGAAACTTGGCAGCCCAGAAGGCTGAAAATATACAGTTACAGAGTGTGTAAGTGTGTGTGTGTGTGTGTGTGTGTGTGTGTGTGTGTGTGTGTGTGAAGACCCTTACTCACATACACTAACAAACGTGCATTCACACACGCATACGTTACACACATGCACAGACACACACACACAGACACATAAAAGAAATAGTCTATATTAATATTTGCGGAAATGCCAGAGATGTTTCGGTAGCTCAAGCGTGAAGGAAGGAAAAAGGGAGGGAGAAAGAGGAAGAAGGAGATGCAAAGAGAGGAGAATATAGTGAGAGATATAGGAAGAGGAAACGAAGTAGAGAGACAAGGAAGAGGGGAAAAAAGGAGAAACAGGAGGAAATGAGAGAGAGAGAGAGAGAGAGAAACGAAGTAGAGAGACAAGGAAGAGAGGAAAAACGGAGAAACAGGAGGAAATGAGAGAGAGAGAGAATAGGTTGTTTATATCAGTCCATTACTTGATGAAGGTCTTAGCGAAGGTCTTAGCGAAGGTCTTAGCTATATTTAGTCTTACACTATGATGCCATGTTTTAATTTTCAAGAGGGTGTGGTGGCAGGTTGTGATGAACCTTGGAGCTCACACATGGTTATATCTACAGGTAAAACCCTTCAGTGCCTCATTAACAAGTGCTAGGAGTATATTGGCTTGAGGGTTGATTAAATCTGTGGAACTAAAAAAAAAATTGATTCTTAGTTAAATTTCTACTAATTCTAAAGGACATATAGATTTACATAAACTCTACAAAGATTCTTAGTCCTTTAAATAAATGTTTTTACTGAAATATTAATTAAAGCATTCGAACGGCGTGTCCACCTACAGACAATTCCTGCCAGAACGTCCATGAGCAGTGCGAAGCCTGGTCCGGCAACGGGGAGTGCCAGAAGAATTATGCTTACATGAGGAAGGTTTGCGCCAGAGCCTGTACATTCTGTCAACCAGCTAACGGTAAGTCCAGCCTGTAGAGAGACAGACAGACAGATATTTACCCAAAATCATCATACAAGATCACATTAGTTCAGCAGATACACAAACAGTTCAGGTACAAAAAACAATGGTATACAATAAGTGGAACAGATGAAGGACACCAGCCGGAGAGAAACAGGTCTTCTCATTTTTTTTTTGGGGGGGGGGATGATTTTCTAATGATAATAGTGTGTGCGCGCACGTGTGTGTGTGTGTGCGCACGTGTGTGTGTGTGTGTGAATCAATTCTTTCTTTAGACTCACACACGTACTTGTACATTTCAGATCACAGCGTCCCTCACGTTCACGCCAACTTCGTAGACGAGTACTGGAAGAAATTCAGGAGCAGTCACCCAGAGATCGGCAACTCCCACCACAGCTAGACCACCTCTGTTAGCTCAAGGGATACGGGAGGGAGGGAGGGTGAGGGTGAACAAGGGTGAAAGAGGGTGAGGGAGGGAGGGAGGCTAGGGAAGTCGTACTCAATTCAGCTTACTCAACCAAAGTGAATCCCTAACAACAGGTGATCACAGTCTCAGTAACTTTAAAGAGATATTCTCAGTCATAGAGGTTTAGAGGTACTGCTGGGAGATAATGAGGTTAACCATTGTCTCAGATGCTACACGGTCTGAGAGATGGTTCCGTGGTCTCAGCGTTACCCAGGAGCTGCTGGGATACGAGTATAACACCCTTGCGCCCTGAGAACCTCCGTAAGGACAGCCGAGCAAATCTCAGGAGAATATTTCGACAACCTCAAAGCTGCTGAGAACTATGGTCTTTAGGAGCTGAGACGACTTAACACTTTCTGATGCCATTTGCCATATTTTACTTAGAAGAAACTCAGAGCACAGCAAATTCCTAACAAAACCACGTCCTCCCGACCCTCCTCCAGAGTACTCAGATCGTGACGTGTTGTTAACTCATGATAAATGTCAATAAGCACTTTTGTCGTAGCTGATATGAAACCTTCCTCAATAACACCATTAAGGTCCTTTGATTTTATACAATAATAAAATGTCTCGACTTTTAACCAAACTAGACACAAAAAAAAAATATATATATATATTACACTTCTTTTGACAACAATGAATTAAGTCTTGTTGAAACGTTGATGCCAAATATGGATTATGTAAACCAAGATTCTGGAGTTAATCCTGAGCTTAACGAATAGACAATGTAAACCTTAACTCCTGATACGTTTATATTATAGTTTTATGAGTCGACGATTTAAAGCACAAAGGCTGTGATGTGTTTAGACCAATTTAATAAGTTTAAGTAATGACTGTATGAGAGAGTTTACAAATCATATCAAACATTATGAGTGAGAATATAACCTATAGCATCTTTTTTTTTTTCTACTCATTTTCATCTTGTAGGGAATTACACCGGTTTTATAGGTCAATACTCACTCTTGACCTCTGTATATATGTTAGTGAGTTTTATGGTGTGTGTGTGTGTGTGTGTGTGTGTGTGTGTGTGTGTGTGTGTGTGAGAGAGAGAGAGAGTGAGTGAGAAAGACGCACATCAATCCAGACTGCAACAGATGACAGCTCATGGTATAAACCTCCTCATAACACTGAAGGGCATTGCTACCCATAAGCTCATAACACAATGGGGATGTTATACAGTAAGTTCATACATCTGAGGTACCGTGTTGTGTCGTAAACCCACAACACAGTAGATTTTTTGTATATCTCCTGTAAGACTTGAGTTAAATAGAATGAGTTAGAATTATTGATGACAGGTTGAGTGAGTTAGTGAGTGTGTGTGTGTGTGGCACTTCATAAGGGCATTTATTATTTTAGCGTAAACGGCTGTGACTGACAGACTAAAATTATAACCACTTCATGAGACAGTCAGCAAATTGCCATTCATCCCTAACGCTGGTAAATAAACCTTTTATATACAGGCCGAGAACACTGCAGACAACATAACCCCACACAACCATTAGTTCTTTATCATTATGTATTTTACTCACGTGCTCGAGGTCCATGAGAGAGGAATCTGTTCCTCTTGAGACTTTGAGTTCAAGTTAAGGTTAGCAGTTCCTTGTGTCTTGTCATCATCACACACAAGACAGTAGCTTGAGTGGAGTGGACGGCCAAAACTACTGTCCTTAGTCTGCCTTCTGAGCCGTGTAGGTCCGAATCTTGCAAAAAAAAAGTAATGTTAACTTATGCGGTTTGTGTACACATATTACGAGCAAATATTTATTAGTTCGTAATTATGAAAGTTTTACTCTGAAATCTGTAGACCTGAAACAAATAAGTGTACATGTACGATAGCTTACAATGTTGCTGAACTTGTACACAGGTTGTTACATTTTGTGTTCATTAACATTATAATCACAACTTATCACCGTCAAATGATAAAATTATATATGAAATGTTTTAAAAATGTTTTATGTATTTCTGACAGAACAGAAACTCTCACCACATATTAACATCTGAATTTAATGTGGGATTATTGTTTTTGAGATGTTTACAGACGTCCCTCTACCTTACACTATAACATGGGATAGGACCACCTGCAGGGTATAGGTAAGGAGGCTTCACCACCCTCTGCGCCTCCCGCCACCATCAACAAGACTCTGCAACCTCCTCCTCTCAACATAGATTTATCAACAATGCAATGAACTGGTGTCTATGTTATTGGTTAGGAAACTATCAACCAGCTTTAATGTTGTTACCAAGTGTGATCATCTTACGACACGACACCTTACTCTGTTCACAGTGTACTGTAGGTGTCACACCATTTCAGATATTACTGTATTTCCAAGATAGGGTGAGGAGGTGAGTGTGGTGGGTTGGTACATCTGCTTAGTGGATCGTTATGTACACTCGTGTCACCTAGGTTACACCTGTGTCTCATGGGTTACACCTATGTCACCTGGGTTACACCTGTGTCACCTAGGTTGAGCCACGGGTCTCCCAGGTACAAGAAAGACACTGTAGCTGTAACACTCCCCTCCCCGTCTCCCTAACTGTACAGTAGTGAAGCTGATTGACCTTGTTTATGTTACCAACGTCATTGATGTTTTATATTACTGTAAGTAAATGAAACGGGAACTGACACTGAAACTCACCATTTACATTCCCATCCACAAAAGACCTTAATATATATGAGTTTGTCTGTACATGTTAACTAGTTGACCAATAAAGGCACTTGCCCTAGACCCCAAAATACTGATCTGACTGATACATAGTCATTCAGTGTGAGTTCTAATTCATATTTTGTGTCTTCCTTTATAATGACTTTCTGTATTATGATGCCTGTGTCTCCCACGTTCATCTGGACCAGTGTGTATCAACAGCTTACCTACTCATTATGCCATAGATAAGCGCTTGTAACTTACGTGTTGACTCGCTAATCATCACCTCATGTAACTCAATAGTTTATTAGTGTAATGAAGTTTCATCCATTTCTTCATCGCATGCATTAATCATAATTTTTTTAATATTATCATGCTCTTATTACCTTCATCTGATTATTGATTCTGGACCCATAAGTAGCTCCCATGATGTCTTGAGTTGGTGCTGTGTAGTGTTAACAGTGTCGTCTTCCCTGTGTTTTTATCCTAACACAAATCTACCTTAGCTTCATAATTATTATACTTAATCCTCCAGAATTATGTAAAGAAAATTATATTCATCTTTATTCTTTATATAATTCTATGTGATTTTATAAAGTGACTACCCATGAAACATCTAAATTACATGTTATTTAGTTTGTCGTGACCAACAGTAAAGACGGCAGGTACACTGAGTCAAGTAAAGTATATCTACAGGTAGTTGTAATTAAGTGTTTCCAAGGTGGAGAAAAGTGTCAATTAGTCAATATAAGTGCATGGGTCCTCACTTAAAAAAGTCACTATATGTGTATCTTCCTATGTCTCTCCCTTGTGTGTGTGTGTGTCCCCGTGTGTGTGTGCGTGTCCCCGTGTGTGTGTGTGTCCCCGTGTGTGTGTTAATCCCAGTCAGTGTCAACAACCCAACCCAGTATTAAGTTGTTACCATTCACTGAGGATAATATTCGTCCTGTGAGCTCCGACTCCTTCTCTGTGGACATTATATAAAAGGCATTAGATTAGGGTATTATTATTTGTATTTATCGTCATGAAAATGATGTACTGATAGGGAGAATATGAAGAGCATGTGCTTGAGCAAATTATTTTGTAATAAAGTGAAACTTGTATAAATGTGTATTTTATTTTTACCATTTATGATATAATGTTTGTTTTTCCTTCACCTGGCTCCCCCGTGTATGAAAAATTATCTGGCTGCTTTTATACTAATTTATTATTGTAAAAAAACAGATTTCTTTTTTTTTACAATTCATAGGTTTGTTAAATGACAAAGTTAGAAACCTTTGATGCTGATTCGGATTCACACACACACACAAAGTAATATTCAGAAGTTGACGTCACCAACCAAATGAAAATCATCAACGTTTTACTATTTTCCACGCTTGTCTGGGTCAGCCGCCAGCATAATAAGTCAAACTTTTGGCCAGATTATTTATAAAAAAGAGAAGTTATTATTTCGAGAGTAGTTTATTTTTTATCTTAAAAAAAGTATTTGGAACAATCTGTACTAAGAGTGTTGTAGTATGGATATGAGAGATATGGAAAGATGTATTTTAAACAGAACAGATACACAAGGGAAAAGAAACGAACAGGTAAAAGAACTTAAGACTAGAATGGCAAACTGTAATTGAAAGAAGAAAGAAATAAACGTGGCAATGGTCAGAATTACTTACAACCAAAACAACACTGGACCAGGAAGATCATCGACTGGATCCCACGAGACCTATAGATGGTAAATAAGTAAGTTTGGAGGTGCTCGCTGGAGAGGAGAGACCAAAATAAGAGATATTTTGTAGGAATACTGGGGAGGGGAGGAGGGAGGGATAGAGGGAGGGAGGGAGGGGTAGGGAGAGAAGTGGTTAGTGGGAGAGGGGGAGGGAGGGAGGGTTCCATACATTAGGGCAGACTTAAGCGAAGGAACAAAATTTTTACTTTTACTTTTTTACTTTTATCCTCTTCGCCACTGATCGGCTTGTTAGCCGCTTGGGCGATCGGTCACGACTCTTTTCCTTTATATTCTTCACCAAAAGGTCGGCTCGCTAGCCGCCCGGGCGATCGGTCACGTCTCTGTCACGCACTGTTGGCAAATACTGGGCATGCACCGGCTCCTGAATGTACCTGAACCCGCTCCAGTGTTGGTCAAGTCTTCTCTTGAAAGAGCTCACACTCGGTGCCGTCACAACACTTTCTGGTAGATTGTTCCAAGAGTTTACAACCCTCACTCCGAAAAAGTTTGCCCTCACGGTTTTCCGGACTTGCGGCTTCTTCAATCTTGAGCTGTGACCCCTTGTGGGGCGAGCGTCCGCCAGCTCCAAGTAAGGACACTCAACTGAGTAGTGCCCCCTGAGATGCTTATAAACCTCAACTAGGTCCCCCCTTGCCCGTCTGTAGTATAAGCTAGGCAAGTTCAGGCGCTCCAATCTCGCAGGGTAGCTGAGATGCCGAAGTGCAGGCACCAGCTTGGTGGCCCTCCTTTGAACATTTTCAACCAACTGACAGTCCCTAGCATATCTCGGGGACCAGATGGGGTGACAGTACTCCAGATGGGGAAGCACTTCACTCCTGAAGATCGTCACGAGGGACGGACCGTCTAGATATCTGAACGACCTTCTTATAAGACCCAATAATTTATTTGCCTGATTTACCTTCTTCTCACAATGGCCCGAGAACTTCAGCTCATTGTCAACATACACACCTAGGTCCTTCTCACACACAGTCTCAACTAGTACATTTTCTTCATCCCGTTGGGACATATGGTACGCCTCCTTACCGTTGGTACGCCCCAGGTGCATCCTCTTACACTTCGTGACATTGAATCTCAGCAGCCATTCCTTCGACCATTCCTGGAGCCCACAGAGGTCCTTCTGCAGCTCTTCACAGTCCGCTTGGTTCTTAATTTCCCGAAATAACTTGGCGTCATCGGCAAACATTTGTATGGAGGAGTGTACAACGTCAGGCATATCATTTATGAAACAAACAAACAACAGCGGGCCCAATACACTACCCTGCGGTACCCCACTTGTTACAGGTACAGATGACGATTTCGTGCCATTAATCACCACACATTGCTTGCGGTCATGTAGAAAGTCTTCTATCCACGCTAGGACATTTCCCCGAATTCCGTACCCTTCCAGTTTGATTTTCAGCCTTTCGTGGGGTACACTGTCGAAAGCCTTGGCAAAATCTAGGTAAATATTGTCGATATTACCACCCCGTTCTAGAATATGGGTCCAAATATCCAATACCTTGAGCAATTGTGTCAAGCAAGAGCGCCCCGGCATAAAACCGTGTTGGCAATCTTTTACAAGGTTGTTTCGTAGTAGATGTTCCATCGCTGCATCTCTGATAATACTCTCAAGTACTTTACATATTATGCTGGTCAGGCTCACCGGTCTATAGTTGTTCGTGGAGTGCCTATCGCCCTTCTTGAAGATAGGACTCACATAAGCCACTTTCCATTCACTGGGGACCATTTGTTCATCCAGGCATTTACAAAACAGAATCTTCAGGGGCTCTGCAAGCTCGTTGCACAGCTCTCTTAGCACTCTAGGATGCACCATGTCAGGTCCAGGACTCTTATGGACCTTTAGCCTGGACAGTTTATTTCTAATACCCTCTTCTGTGAACACAATGTGGGTCAGTGCTGTGTCGAACCGTCTGTCCTCAAACGCAGGAAGGTTAGTTG